GAAAAAGGAAGAGAAGGAGTAGGAGCAGTCCCCCTTTCCTTCTCTCCCCTTTGTTGTTTCTTTTCGCTGTTTGTTGTTGTCTTTCGTGGTCCCCTGGGCCTGCCTTTCGGGCATCAGCACCAGCGGAGGAACTGAACTCGGTCCTCTCCGATTGGTACGCCCAGTCCACCCAGGCCCAGCAGGACTCCCGCATCTCGCTCTTGAGGAGGAGGGGGTGGCAGAGGAGGAGGAGGAGGAGGATAAGCGTGATTATGCGCTGCTGATGTTGATGTCGATGATGCTGAATATGCTGAATATGCTGATGAAGCTGATGAGGATGATGCTGCTGCTGCTGATGATGCTGATGATGATGATGATGATGATGATGATGATGATGATGATGATGCTGATGCTGACGCTGATGCTGCTGCTGATGATGATGTTGATGACGATGATGATTAGGCTGCTGCTGCTGCTGATGATGATGATGCTGCTGATGATGATGATGATGATGCTGCTGCTGATGATGATGATGATGATGATGATGATGATGATGATGCCGATGAGGATGACGATGCTGCTGATGATGGTACTGCTGATGCTGGTGCTGATGCTGATGCTGCTGATGTTGACTATGCTGACGATGTTGATGACGATGATGACGATGCTGATGTTGCTGCTGATAATGATGAAGATGCTGCTGCTGATGCTGATGCTGCAGATGCTGATATTGATGATGATAAGGATGCTGACGATGCTATAATGATGATGCTGGTGATGGTGATGGTGGTGGTGCTGATGATGACGACTAGGAGGAGGAGGAGGAGGAGGAGGAGGAGGAGGAGGAGGAGGAGGAGGAGGAGGAGAAGGAGCAGGAGGAGCAGGAGGAGCAGGAGGAGCAGGAGGAGCAGGAGGAGCAGGAGGAGCAGGAGGTCGGAGAGGGGGGGGAGCGTCGAATGTCAGCAAAAAGAGCGCGGGCGCGTAGTGCTTGTTCCGTTCGTGTTGGCAGCTCCTCATTCTCAGGCTTTCTCGGCATGAGTCACACTGTAGGCGCGCAACCGTGCACATTCGGCGTTTAGCACAAACACGACACGGCCAGACTCGCGGAATGCGTGCTCCAGGAGGTCCGCAGAAGTCTGAAGCGTGCCCTGGCGCGACCGAGAGGGAGGAGGGAGAAATGCTGCCCTCCAGGCTGGTTCGTCCCACGCGCATGTCGACGCTAAGCTGCTGAGCCAACGCGGCAGAGGAGCTCACCTGCAGCCGAGAGGCGATCCGCTCGAACTTCCCTGTGCCATGCCGCCCCGCACGAGGCGGTGAAGTGGAGCGGCAGCTGCCCGAACGTGTCGGGTCACAGCGTTGACCAGGCGCCGTCGCGCTGCTCGACGTCTGAGTGGCCGCACTCCAGCTGCATGCTCCTGCCGTGGAGCTCTGGCCTTGCTGCTGCCGGTGTTGGCCGTCATCGTGGTGCCGTCCTCGGGGGAAAGATGGGCGGGCGTTCAGGTAGCAGCCCTTGGCGGCGTCAGGGGTCATCCGCGTCATGAGCTTGTCACACTGGTCCTGTCACTTGGCCCTGACGCTGCTGATGGTGTTCAGGGGTAACCGATGACGACGTTCACGTCTGACGACCTCGTGGGGCGAGCGGAGGATCAACGCCTCCGCGCCCGACGCACACCATCGTGAAGTTCTTGTCGACCTGCCGGAGCCCTCCGCCATTTGACGAATGCGACGTGGTCGACGCAGCGACCGCCGCCACCAGGACGGCGCCAAACCATGGCGCCCAGCGGCGCACAAAGGGCGCGCTGTGACCGGCCGCGACGGCCTGCCTCTCGAGCCCACGGCTGTGGCACTCTCGGCCCCCCGAGGCGAAGGCTTGAACTTGAGCCAGAAGTGCTACGGGCCGCGTCGTAGAAGAGGAGGAGGAGGAGGAGGAGGAGGAGGAGGACGAGGAGGAGGAGGAGGAGGAGGAGGAGGAGGAGGAAGAGGAGGAGGAGGAGGAGGAGGAGGAGGATGGAGGCGGCACGCGGGAGCCGGGAGGCGGGAGGGGAGAGGAGGAAGGGGTGCGGGAGGGGAAGGCCCAAAGGGCACAGTCCGGGCCGATGGCCTCCTCGGATCATCGGCGTGATCCGTGGGCCCCATAGGGAGGGGACCCCCGCGCGAGACTTCCTCGCAAACCACTCACAGAAGAGGCTCCCGTTCCAGACTTCCTCTGGATTCGGGCTCCCAGGCGTCACCAACCATGTTTTTTTACATGGTTTGCCGATGGCCGCGTTGGATCACCAACAAGATCTGCGGGCCCCATGGGGAGGGGGCTCCCGCTCGAGACTTCCTCGCAATTCGCTCACGAACGAGGCTCCCGCTCGAGACATCTTCGATCTAAGCGTGTGAGTTTTTCTGTATGCGATGATGGTGCTGATGATACTGAAGACGATAGATGTTGACAATGATGCTGATGATAATGTGAGCGTGTTCTTGTTCCCGTGCCGTGTGTCCAGAGAATCCAGAACCACAATTTGGATGTGGGGGACACCGTTTTAGACACTGGAAGATCATTCTAACACGCCCACTCCTTGCAGGCACGGTGGCGGATATCGGTCTTACAGGTGATCAATCAATCGTCAATTGTCTGTCGGTCCCGTTATGTATTTCCTGCACTTCCAGGCCATTTGTCGATCTCACTGTCAATCCATGAGGGCAGCCATCGGGACAACCATCGGGACGGCCATCAGGGCAGCTTTCTGGGCAACCTTCGGGACAACCAGCGGGACAACCAACGGGACAACCATCGGGACAACTAACGGGACAACCATCGGGACGACTAACGGGACAGCCATCGGGACGATATCTTGAGAACCATCGGGGCAACCTTCGGAACAAGTACTCCAGATGTCGTAATAAAGGGAGGGGGGTCTCATTTCGGGGGGGGTCTCTTCCAGGCTATCTTGGAGGGCCTGGGGGGTCTGGGGACGATGTTTTGGAGGGTTCTCCCACGGGGGAGGTCTGAAATGGCTTGTCTTGGAGGGTCCAGACCCCCTCCCTTTTATTGAATCGCTTCGCTCATTCCGCCGGCCCGTATTGTGCCATCGCGGGGTCTTGGGGGGTCTTGGGAGCCCTTGGAAGCTTCGTGGGAGCTTCTTGGGAACTTTGGGAGGCCTCGTGGATGGCTCTGGGTGGGCTCTCTTGGTGGTCTCTTGGGGGGATCTGCCTGGCCTCTTGGGGGCCTCCTGGGAGCTTCCTGGGGGTCTCTTGGGGGCCTCTTGGGGCTTTCTTGCGGCCTGTTGGGGGCCTCTTGGGGCTCTCTTCGGGGCTTCGTGGGGCTACTTGGGGGCTTGTAGGGGCATTTCGGGGGCGTGTTTGGGCGGGAGGCTCAAAATTTCCGGTCAGGTTGACCCTGTGGACCTCAATCATGGGGCCGTCTTGGCGCCTCTTGGACCGTCTTGAGGGTCTCTTGGGCCTTCTTGGAGCGCACTTGGGCCGTCTTTGAGCGGCCTTGAGGGTCTCTCGGGCCGTCTTGGGGTGATCTTGGGGGCCTCTTGGACCGCCTTGAAAGGTGTGAAAGACGAAGAGGCGGATATGTTAAAAATGCTCGCTTTCCTAAGGGAATGAGACGATTTTTGCTTGTGGGAGCCCTCTTGGGACGCCGCTTAGGGACCTCTTGGGGCGTCTTGAAGGCCTGTTGGGCCGTATTGAGGCCATCGTAGGCGCTTGGGGGTGATATTTCGGCGTCTCCCGGCTCTCTTGGACCGTCTGGAGGGCTTCTCGGGCCCCTCTTGGACCGATTTGGAGCCCTCCTGGGCTCCGAAAAAGAGTTCTTGAGGGTTTCTTGGGCCTTCTTGGAGCGCTCTTGGGCCGTCTTTGAGCGGTCTTGAGGGTCTCGCGGGCCGTCTTGGGGTGATATTGGGGGCCTCTTGGACCGCCTTGAAAGGTGTGAAAGACGAAGAGGCGGATATGTAAGAAATGCACGTTTTCCGAAGGGAATGAGACGGTTTTTGCTTGTGGGAGCCCTCTTGGGACGCCGCTTAGGGACCTCTTAGGGACCTCTTGGGGCGTCTTGAAGGCCTGTTGGGCCGTCTTGAGGCCATGGTAGGCGTTTGGGAGTGATATTTCGGCGTCTCCCGGCTCTCTTGGACCGTCTGGAGGGCTTCTCAGGCCTTTCTTGGACCGATTTGGAGCCCTCCTGGGCTCCGAAAAAGAGTTCTTGAGGGTTTGTTGGGCCTTCTTGGAGCACTCTTGGAGCGGTCTTGAGGGTCTCTCGGGCCGTCTTGGGTCGGCCTCTTGGACCGCCTTGAAAGGTGTGAAAGACGAAGAGGCGGATATGTAAAAAATGCACGTTTTCCCGAGGGAATGGGACGATTCTTGCTTGTGGGAGCCCTCTTGGGGCGCCGCTTAGGGACCTCTTGGACGGTCTTGAAGGCCTGTTGGGCAGTCTTGAGGCCATCGCAGGCGTTTGGGAGTGATATTTCGGCGTCTCCCGGCTCTCTTGGACCGTCTCGAGGGCTTCTCGGGCCTCTCTTGGACCGTTTGGAGCCCTCCTGGGCTCCGAAAAGGGACCTTGCCGGGACCTTGCCGGGGTACTTTTCGTCCGGGGACCCCCAGGGCCCGCCCCGCGCGCGCGAACTAGAAATATTGTTGAGCAGTTACCGGAGATCTTAGCACGCCTCTGGCCCGTTGGGCCGGCGAATATTTCAAACAACGAAGGCAAGTCAATGATTTGCGCCTCTCAGGGTCCTCTTGGGAGGCATCGTCGAGGCCTCTTGGGGCATCTTGGAGGCCGTTTGGACCATCATGAGGCCATGTAGGGCGCCCTGTTGGCCCGTTTGGGGGCCTCCATTGCTCCGAAACAGACGCGAGAAACCGCGGGAAGCCCGAGGAGAAGATTTCGCGATGTGGGGTCTGGGTCTCTGAACGACTCCTCAGGGATGAGGACTGAGATTGAGAGGGTGATGGCAAGGACCTGAGGGCACGCCCACTCCGTGCCCAGAGGCACGGTGGCGGATCTAAATAGCCATGAGAATATGATGATCATGGTTCTGACGGGTCGCATCGCATTTCCGAGCTCCACTGGGGGAGCCGCTTGGGGGCATTTCAATTTGTTTTTGGTTGGAATCGTGGGGGAACGGCAGTGACTCGGGTTAGCGGTCGGTGGATTGGGCGAGGTGGTAAATATTATCCAGGAGCAGCGATGACCCCATCCCCGAAGGGGAAAAATGGGGTTGGGCCAGGAATCGCGATTGACCATCTCCTACCCAGGAGGCAGGGGAGGGGTTTTGAGCTAGGAGACCACATGCGAGAAGTTGTCCAGGTCGGTTTCGGCGGAGCCATCATGTTTATTTCGGGCCTTGAGATGCCGCCTGTGAGGCGGTCCTGTCGGTCTCGCCTGAGACATCCCTGCAAGTTTCGAGATGCCGCGCGAGAGATAGTCCAGCCCATTTCGCTTAGATATCCTCGCCGCTGTCCTGAGGCGGTCCAGCCCTTTTGGCTTGAGGCATCCTGGCAGTTGTGGGCTTCGAGGCACGCGAGAGGACCATCCAGCTTCCCCCCACACATTCGCAACTCAGGGCCAATGGATGCCCTCACATGAGCAGGTCCACCCAGATTCGCTTCACACTTCGTCACAACTCTGGGTTGGGATATGACCTGGCCTGAGGTCGTCCAGCCATCGCCGCCCGAAGCATCCTCGTTGTTCTGGGTGAGTCGATGCTCTTGTCTCACGGTATCCGATACCGTTTCCTCGTTGTTCTGGGTTTGCAGCTGACGTGGACTGATCGTTTCGCTTGAGATCTCCTGGCAACTATGGGTTCATGTACTTATGTTCCTCATCTCACGTGGTCCCGGTCCTTTTCGCCTGGGACATCGTCGGGATTGTGTTTTCGGGGATGCTCACACCTGAGGTGGTTCAACCAATTTCGCCCGAGATCTCCCCTCTCTGGGCTCAGAGATGTCATGCCAATGCTGTCGCCGATGGCCCATTCTACAATCGAGGACGCCGGCGGCGCATCACCGGCCGCTCCCTGGGAGTTTGCCGAAGATCGCGCAGCATCGAAAGTCGTGACGTGGCGCGGCCCATCCCGCCACCGTGCTTGGGTGTTGGGTCGGAGTCCTCGTGGACGCTTCTTGGGGTCTCGAGAGGGCTCTCGGGGCCTCTGCGGGGGAGTTTAGGGCCTCTTGAGGGCCTCCTGGGGGCTTCTTGTGAGCCTCTTGGGGGCCTCTTGGGGCCTTTGGGGGCTCTCTTGGAGCCTCTTGGGGGCCTCCTGGGGGCCTCTAAGAGCCCCCTGGGGGCCTCTTGGGACCGAAAGCTCAAAATGTTGGGTTCCCCTTCTGAGCGCCCTCTTGGGGCCGTCATGGGGCCTCTCTTAGGCCGTTCTGGGTGCCTCTTGGGCCGTCTTGGGGCCCTCTTGCGCCGTCTTGGAGCCCTCTTGGGGGCTTGTTGGGCCGTCCTGGGGCGATCTTGGGGGCCTCTTGGGCCGTCTTGGAGCGTGGGTAAGCCGAAATGGCGAGAATGCGAAAATCCTTCAAAAACCATTGAAAAATCAATGATTTTTGCATGTTGGGGCTCTCTTGGGGGTGCTCTTGGAGGCCTCTTGGGCCGTCTTGGAGGCGTCTTGGGCCGTCTGGAGGCCATCTTTGGCGTCTTGGAGCGATCTGGAGCCGTCTGGAGGCTCTCTTGGACTGCTCGGGACTCTCTAGGACCGGCTTGGGGCGCCCTTGGGTCGTCCCCGGGCCGTTTGAGACCTTGAAGGGGGGGGGGGGCCGGCAGGGGGCCGGCGGCAGAGTGGGGCCCCCTCGGAGGGACTTTCAGGAGGTTTTTGACCAGGCACTGGAGAAGGGGGCCAAAGACTGGGCCAAACACTCTGTCGGAGAGGTCTCGCACGGCCCAACCCGCAGGGCGGGAGCGGCCGGATCTAAAGGCTGCCGCCTCTGCCGCCGACCCCTATTGGGCGACGTCTGGTTGAGTCGTTTGCTGTCGGGATGCCTTTCCGAGCACGGCAGGAAGGTTTCAGGTTAGACATCCAGGCCTGAGCCTTCCACCCTTGACTCCTGAGTCTCTGTTGCACCTCTGTTGGTCGTGGGTATGAAGCTTATTCGATAATCGTTGGGATTTCGTGGGGGACCCTTAGAGGGCCTCTTGGATGCAGTTTTGAGGCCCTTACGGGGCCTCTTGGAGGCAGTTTGGAGCCTCGTGGGGTCGCTGTGGTGGAGTTTTGTTTCATCCGCTTCTGTTTCGTCCGCTTCTGTTTCGTCCGTTTTTGTTTCGTCCGCTTTTGTTTCATCCGCTTTTATGCCATCCGCTGTGGTTTCGTCCGTATTTTGTTTCGTCCGTTTTTGTTTCATCCGTTTTTTTTCGTCCGCTTTTGTTTCGTCCGCTTTTGTTTCGTCCGCTTCGTTTTCGTCCGCTTTGTTTTGCGTGATTCGTGTGGAAGCTGGGGGAATGAAAACCGGATGAATCTGATCTGGACTTATTAAAACCGGATGAATTCCAACCTGGAGAATTAAAACCGGATGAATTTAAACCGGACGATTTAAAACCAGATGATTTTTAACCGGCGGATCAAAACCAGATGAGTTTAAACCGGACGAATTAACACCGGATGAATTTAAACGGACGAATTAAAACCGGATGAATTTAAACCGGGCGAATTATAATCGGTCGAATTTAAACCGGGTGAATTACAACCAGATGAATGTTAACGGGGCGACTTGAAAACGGATGAATTCAAACCAGATGATCTCATCCTTTTTGATCTTTTTTTTTTTTTTTTTTCTTTTCTTTTTTTTTTTTTTTTGATTCTCTTTTTTTTGCTTTTTCTTTTTCTTTTTTTTTCACTCCCCTTTTTTTTTTTTTTTTCTTCTTTTTTCGTTTTTTTTCTCCGTTTTTTTCTTTTTTTTTTTTCTTATTTTTTCTCTTTTGTGATTTCCATCCCAGACTGCCCCAGAGAGCTGCTAGAAGCCCTCGGGGACTTCGACAAGCCCCTCCAAGACAGCCCAGATAGTCCCAACGTGGCCTAGGATGGGTTCTAGACCGCAGGTACACAGCCCAAAAGGCCTCCAAGGGGCCTCAAGAGAGCTCCGAGAAGCATCCCGGGAGAGCCCGAAGAGGCCCAAATCATTGATTTTCATTGGTTTGGTCAATGTTTTTCGGTTTCTCGCGCTTTCGACCTTCCGACGCTCCAAGACGGCCGACGACGCTCCCAAGACCACCCTAAGACCGCCGAAGAGGCCCCCAAAAAAGCCCCGACACGGCACCAGGGAATTTGGCGGGGGCGCGGCGGGGGGAGGCCCGGCGAGGTTTTTGCAGGGTGGGTGGCCCTTCAGAACCTAGGCCCAGGACCCCAGGAGGCTGGCGGTGTCAGGCGCGGCGGGGGCGTGGCGGGGGGTGCTGGCGAGGTTTTTTCAGGGTGGGTGGCCCCTACGAACCCAGGCCCAGGACGCCAGGGGGTTTGCGGTGTCATTCGCGGCGGGGGCGTGGCGGGGGGGCGCCGGCAAGGTTTTTGCAGGGCGGGTGGCCCCTCAGAACCTAGGCCAAGGACGCCAGGAAGCTGGCGGTGTCAGGCGAAGTGGAGGCGCGATGGGGAAGGTGCCGATGAGGTTTTTGCATGGTGGGTTGCCGCTAAGAACCTAGCCCCAGGACCCCGGGAGGCCGGCGGTGTCAGGCGCGGCGGGGCTGTGGCGGGGGTCGCCGGCGAGGTCGGTGCAGGGTGGGTGGCCCCAAAGAACCTAGGCCCAGGACGCCAGGAGTCTGGCGGTGTCAGGCGCGGTGGGGGCGTTGTGGGAGAGGTGCCGGCGACGTTTTTGCAGGTGGGTGGCCCCCAAGAACCGAGGCCCAGGACGCCGGGAGGCTGGCGGTGTCAGGCGCGGTGGGGGGGGGGCGCCGGCGAGGTTTTTGCATGGCGGGTGGCCGCTAAGAACCTAGGCCCAGGACGCCAGAAGGCTGGCGGTGGGGGCGCGGTGGCAGGGGTGCCGGCGAGGTTCTTGCAGGGTGGGTGCCCTCAGAACCTAGGCCCAGGACGCCAGGAGTCTGGCGGTGTCAGGCGCGATGGGGGGGGGCGCCAGGTTTTTGCAGGGCGGGTGGCCCCTGGGAACCTAATTAGAGCCAGGACGCCAGGAGGCCGGCGGTGTCAGGCGCGGTGGGGGCGCCAGGGGTTTGAGGCGCCGGCGAGGTTTTTGTAGGGTGGGTGGCCCCTCAGAACCTCGGCCCAGGACGCCGCTGTCGGTGTCAAGAGCGGCGGGGGCGTGGTGGTGAGGGAGCCGGCGAGGTTTTTGCAGGGCGGGTGGCCCCTGAGAACCTAGGGCGAGGACACCAGGACTGGGCGGTGTCAGGCGCGGTGGGGGTGTGGTGTGGGAGGGTGCCGGCGAGGTTTTTTCAGGGTGGGTGGCCCCAGGAGGCTGGCGGTGTCAGGCGCGGCGGGGGCGTGGTGAGGGGGTGCCGGCGAGGTTTCCGCAGGGTGGGTGGTCCTTGAGAACCCAGGCCCAGGACGCCAGAAGGTTGTCGGTTTTAACAGTGATTCTTAACCGTGAGAAAATAAACGTTAACCTTAGGGAGAAAAAAACAAACAACTGTTTACAAAAAGCAATACGCAAAAACAATGGCAAAATGTGGGATGGAACCGCATGCGGGCGCTGCCACTGGGGCCTCAGGTGGAGCACACCGAAATGGGTGGGGAACCGCATGCGAACGCAGCCACTGGGGCCTTCGGCGGAGCTCCCTATGGGGCCACGGAGCGTGAGAGGAGTGTGCCGACATTGCGAGGCGGCGGCATGCGGGCCTTGCCGCTGGGGCCTTCGGTGGAGCTCCCTATGGGGCCACGAGGCGTGTGAGGGGTGTGCCGAAATGGCGATTTGGCGGGCGATGGTTCTAGTATATATATTTATATACTATATTATATATACATATAATCGGGCAACGGGTCCGGGGGCTCGGGGGGGCCCGGGGACCCCGACCACCAAATGTGGGCCCCAGGGGGCCCGGCGGCTCGTCGGACCGCCGGACGCCGTCCAAGATCGTTCGCAGGCGGCTTCGGAACGCGCTCCGATGGCTCCAGATGTCTTCCAAGACGCCTGTCATGACACCAAGAAGGTCCAGGATGCCTCCAAGACGCTCCGAAGAGGCAGCCCAAGAGCGGCAAAGAAGCCAACATTCGTGCCATTCCTATGGTGAAACGTATATTTTTCGCATGTTCGCCTATTGGCTTTCCGACGTTACAGGACGGCCCAAGAGACGCCCAAGACCGCCCCAAGACGGCCCAAGAAGCTTCCAAGAGGGCCCCAGGACAGCCCAAGAGGGCCCCAAGACGGCCCAAGAGGCGCCCAAGATGGCCCAAGAGGGCCCCAAGACGGGCCCAAGAGGGGCCCAGAGGAGGACCACGAACCGCAAGTTTTCCGCCCCAAGAGGCCGCCAGGAGGCGAATGACCGTTCGGCCCCCTCACTCTGATATACATATATGTGCGTATATATATATATATATGTATATGTATACACAGGCCCGCGGTCCCAAAACACGTGCCCCCGTTGGGGGACTGGGAAGCTCCGGGGGTTTTGCCGAGGCGCCGGGGGCCCCCTAAGATCGCCCGAAGACGGCCCCCGGATCGCCAAACATGGCGTTTCCAGATTGCGGGAACGACCAATGACGGCCAAGGAAGCCGGCCAGAATTAGCCCCTGACTATCCAAGAGGCCTCCAAGACGCCCCACAAAACCTCCAAGATGCCTCCAAAGGAGTTCCGCGAGGCACAACTTGTTAATGATTATCCAAAGGTTTTTGAAAGATTTCCAAGTTCTCGCCTTTCAGTGTTATGACGTTCCACGACGACCTAAGATGTCATATTGTCCGCTCCAAAACTCCCAGGGGCCTCGAAGACGGCCCCAAGGCGGCCCAAGGGGGCCCCAAGACGGCGCCAGAGGCGCACAGGACGGCCCGAAAGGGCCCTATGGAGCTCCTCCGAAGGTCCCAGTGGCGCAGCCCGCATGCGCCCGCCACACCCGGTACAGCGCTTTGTGGCCCCATGGGGAGCTCCACCGAAGGCCCCAGTGGCGCAGGCCGCATGCGTCTCCCACACCCAGTACACCGATCGTGGCCCCATAGGGAGCTCCTCCACTGGCGCAGCCCGCGTGAGTCCCTCCCACCCAATACAGCCTTTCGTGGCCCCATAGGGAGCTCCACCGAAGGTCTCAATTGCGCAGCCCGCGTGCGTCTCACCCACTAAGTACTGCGCTTCGTGGCCCTACAAGGAGCTCCGACGAAGGTCCCACTGGCGCAGCCCGCATGCGTCTCCCCCGCCAGTATAGCGATTCGTGGCCCCATAGGGAGCTCCACCGAAGGTTCCAGTGGCGCAGTCCGCATGCGTCTCCCCCACCCAGTACATTGTTTCGTGGCCCTACAAAGGGGGTTCCACCGAACGTTCCAGTGGCGCAGTCCGCATGCGTCGCCCCCCGAAGACGATGCTTACAACTGTGGTATTCACAATTGCATATGGTTGGGTCCTTCGCCAGGCTAATGTTAATGTACCCCTGCTTACGTTTGCACATCAGACCATCATTAAGGCCCCCATCGCCACCGAAGAAAGATCCCAGGAAGCCTTCGAGGGGCCCAAATCATCGAGCACCTAAAGGAAGTTGATGATGATGATGTGGCTTCCGCGTTTCCCCTTCATACGCTTCCGAGCCTTGCGCAGGGACTACAAGAAGGTCGTTAGATGCACAAGGCGCTTCAACAATTGAGATTCCATGCGTTAGCCTGTCGAGCCTAGTTAGAACTTGAGCGCGCGCGAAGCGCGCGCGATGGTTCAAGTATCTATCTATCTATATCTATCTATCTATCTATCTATATATCTATCTATCTATCTATCTATCTATCTATCTATCTATCTATCTATCTATCTATCTATCTATCTATCTATCTATCTAGTTATCTATTTATATATATATAACTATCTATATATCTATATATCTATATATATATATCTATATACACACACACACACACACCGGGGGACGTGGCCGGGGAGGTCCCACCCAGGGACCTCGGCAGGGCATGGGGGGCCCGGGGCCTTATTCTCTTCATGTGTTTACAAGGTTTCGGCCACCCGGAACCGCCAGAGCCCCGGGGGACGTGGCTTGCCGGGGGGTCCGGCCCAGAGACCTCGGCGGGGCATGGGGGCTCGGGGCCGTACTATCCTTGTGTATTGTTTTACAAGGTTTCGGCCACCCGGAGCCACCTGAGCCCCCGGGGGACGTGGCCGGGGGGGTCCTGCCCAGGGACCTCGGCGACGCATGGGGGGCCCGGGGTTTTGCTTCCTTTTGTGTTACATGGTTTCGCCGGCCCGGAGCCACCAGAGCCCCCAGAGGTTGCAGGGATTTCCAGGGGCTGCTCCCGCCTTGGTGCCCCAGGTCTCCTATAGAGGTTTTCAGGAGAGTTCCGCAAGGCTTGCGCACTTGGTCTTCCCAAGCGTTTTTTCCACGTTTCTCTCCATGCAGCCTGTTCTGCATCTCCCCGCAGTGAGCGGCAGCCCCACAGGACGCCCAGACCGTCCCGGTTCGGCCCCAGACGCTCCCAACCTTTGTCCCCAGATGGCTCCTTATGGGAGGACCGGTGACCGGCGCGCCCCAGTAGGGTCACAGAGCGGCCAGGGACGTTCCAAGATCTTTGCGACGCCGACGACCCAAAGACAGCCCCACGATGGTCTTCGTCGACACGTCATGCTTCCAAGAGGCCTCCCTGGAGGGCTCTCTGAGGCCTTACTCTTTGTGTTTGTTCCCTTTTGTTTTTTCCCCCACGTTTTCACTCATCCAGCTTGTTCTGCATCCCCACGCTTCACGGCAGCCCAAGAGGACGTCCAGACCGATGTGGTTCGGGCCCCTGGGGCTCCCAACCGCGGCCCATGACGGCTCCGCATGGGAGGACCAGCGCCGCCAAGTAACCCGGCAGGGTCTTTAGAAAAGGGGCCCCCCCCTGGTTCTCTCTCCAGGGAATAACACTCCGCGCCCCCCCGTCCCCCCCCCTCCCTCCCCCCGTCCTCCCCCCTCGCCCCCTCTCCCTCCCCCCACTGAGGACCTCCCGCAAGCTACGAGGACTGAGGACCTCTCGCAAGCTACGAGGACTGAAGACCGCAAGCTACGAGGACTGAGGACCGCAAGCTACGAGGACTGAGGGCCGCAAGCTACGAGGACTGAGGACGCTCCTGCCTGAGGTACGAGGACCGCCCAGGAATTAGTTTCGCACTATTAGCCGCTTGGGTTTTGTACATCTTCCCTTGCTGCTCCTCCTCCTCCTCGCCATTGCCCCCCCGCTCACTATTGCCCCCCCCCCCCGCAGCCACGTGAGTCTCAAGCTCTGCGAGGCGTCAGCAACGAACTTCCTTTCAGGGCGCTCCAACACAACCTGAGGCCTCGAGGCTCTTTTGAGCCCCCCCCAGACGGCAGACGCGCCGTCAGGCGTGAGCCCCCGCGAGGACCAGGATGGCGCTGAGGGCGCGGTTTTGGACGAGCTCTTTGAGGACGGGCCGAACGGCCCCCCTGAGGCGACGACGACGACGGACGACAACGACGACGGCGGCGACGACGACGACGACGGCGCGGGGGCCGACGGTGGCGGCGAGATCGTTGAGGTCGACGCTGGTGGCGCGGAGGCCCAGGGCGGCGCTGTGACCGCCGAGCCCCCTGAGGCGACAACGACGACGACGGCGGCGACGACGACGGCGGCGACGACGGCGGCGACGACGCCAGCGACGACGACGGCGGCGACAACGACGACGACGCCAGCGACGACGACGGCGGCGACGACGACGACGACAGCGGCCCTGAGGCCGAACGCCCGAGGGTGAGCCGCCAGCTCGACCTCTTCGGGCGCCCCGTGCCTGAGAAGGTGAAGCGCGGTCCTGGGCGCCCGCCCTTGCCGAGGGCCCGGCCTGAGGACGCGCTGGTCGGCGGCGCCGAGGAGGTTCTGTCCGCGGCGAGGCTGCCCGCCGCGAGCCACAGCGCGCTGACCGCCCAGCTGCTGCAGCGCGTGAGTGAACTGGAGAACCGTCTGAGCGGCGCTGATGGGCCCATTTTCCATGACCACTACCATAAGTCGGGGGGGAAGGAGTAGGAGGAGGAGGAGGAGGTGGAGGAGGGGCCTGCCCGCCGAACCGCCCCTGGCCATAGCGAAGCGGAGGACCCCCTCCCCCCTCCTCCCCCCCCCGAGTCAGGTGGAGGACCTCCCTCCTCCCTCCTCCCCCTCCCCCTCCTACTTATAGTAGTGGTGATGGAAAAGGGGCCCATCAGGCGCTGCGCCTGGGCCGGCCCTTCCCCTGACGGACGCGGCGCTGGGCGGCGAGGCGGCGCCCCAGATGAGCGAGGAGCACAATCCCTACGAGACGCCTGAGAACGAAAGCCAGGTTCTGGCGGCGAGCTCTCCGCCCGCTGGCGAGCGCGGCGCGAGAGGCGGCAGGCCCCCGAATAGGCCTCGAGCGCAGACCCCTGAGCTTCAGCGGTTGCTTGAGACAAACATGCCCGCAGCGGCGAGGGAGTGCGCGGTGAGCAAGTGCCGTGAGGTTGGGCGTCGGGCGAAGCATTGCATGTGTCTGCACATTAAGAAGGCCCTGAAAGACGCGCAAGATGAGGCTACTGTCTTGAGAGCGATCAAGGACTACACTGGCAGGAACATGAGGTGGGCGAAGCACACCTGGAACAACCGTGACGTGTGGAAGGGGACCGTAACCGTGACGTGTAGTAGTAGTAGTAGTAGTAGTAGTGGTAGTAGTAGTAGTAGTAGTAGTAGTGGTAGTAGTAGTAGTAGTGGTAGTAGTAGTGGTAGTAGTTGTTGTAGTTGTTGTTGTTGTTGCAATAGTATGAGTAGTGGTAGTCGTCGTCGTGGTAGTAGTAAATAGTAGCAGCAGTAGCAGTGGCAGTAGTAGTAGTAGTAGTAGTAGTGGTAGTAGTAGTTGTAGTAGTAGTAGTCGTACTTAGTAGTACTACAGCAACGTTAGTAGTAGTAGTTGTAGAAGTAGTAGTAGTAGTAGTAGTAGTAGTAGTAGTACTAGTAATAGTAGTAGTGGTAGTAGTAGCAACAGTAGTTGTAGTAGCAGTAGTAGTAGTAGTAGTAGTAGTAGTGGTTCGTAGTCGTATTTGTAGTAGTATTTGTAGTAGTAGTAGTAGTAATAGTAGTGGTAGTAGTAGAGGTAGTAGTAGTAGTAGTAGTAGTAGTAGTAGTAATAGGAGTAGTAGTAGTCGTAGTCGTAGTGGTGGTGGTAGTAGTAGTGTTAGTAGTGGTCGTAGTAGTAGCAGTAGTAGTAGTAGTAGTAGTAGTAGCAGTCGTAGTAGTAGTGATGGTAGTAGTAGTAATAGTGGTAGTAATCCTCGTAGTCGTAGTAACAGTAGTAGTAGTAGTAGTAGTAGTAGTAGTAGTAGTAGTGGTCCTAGTAGTAGTGATAGTTGTAGGAGAAGTTGTAGTCGTAGTAGTGGCGGTCGTAGTAGTAGTGGTGGTGGTAGTAGTAGTAGTAGTAGTAGTGGTAGTAGTAGTAGTAGTAGTAGTAGTAGTCGTGGTAGTAGTAGTAGAACTAGTAGTGGCCGTAGTGAGCAGTGGTGGATGGGATTCGCGTTATTGTTCGCCGTGCTGGTTGTCGGTGGGTGGTTATCTCTCCTGGAAAAGAACCTCGCGTGGGCTACCATGCACGGGGGAGGTTCCCCGAGCCTGTCCGTGCAAGGCGCGCAGTACAAGATCGCTCCGTCTCGAATCGCTGTTCAGCGTCAGTCAGTCCAAATCAATCCAGCCAGTCCCCATCATCCCAAGCAGCCCCCATCATTCCAGTCAGTCCAATCAATGCCAATCAACCGAATCAGCCCCCATCAGTCCAATCTAACCCGTCAGTCCAATCAGTTACCCCCTGCCCGCTCGGCCAGGATTCGATTCCCGATATTGCTCGCCGTGCTGGGTATTGGTGGGTGGTTCTTTCTCTTGGAAAGCAACCCCGCGTGGGCTACCCTACACGGAAGACGTTTTCGGAGCCTGTTCGTGCAAGGCACGTAGTACAAGATCGCTCCGTCTCGAATCGCTGTTCAGTGTCAGTCAGTCCAAATCAATCCAGTCAGTCCCCATCAGTCCCCATCATCCCAAGCAGTCCCCATCATTCCAGTCAGTCCAATCAATGCCAATTAACCCGATCAGCCCCCATCAGTCCAATCTGACCCGCCAGTCCAATCAGTCCCTCCCTGCCCGTTCGGCCAGGATTCGATTCCCGTTATTGGTCGCCGTGCTGGGTATTGGTGGGCGGTTCTTTCTCGTGAAAAACAACCCCGCGTGGGCTACCCTACACGGGGGAGGTTTTCGGAGCTTGTTCGTGCAAGGCACGTAGTACAAGATCGCTCCGTCTCGAATCGCTGTTCAGTGTCAGTCAGTCCAAATCAACCCAGTCAGCCCCCATCAGTCCCCATCATCCCAAGCAGCCCCCATCAGTCCAATCAGTCCAATCAATGCCAATCAACCGAATCAGTCCCCATCAGTCCAATCTGACCCGTCAGTCCAATTTGTCCCTCCCTGCCCGCTCGGCCAGGATTCGATTCCCGATATTGTTCGCCGTGCTGGGCATTGGTGGGCGGTTCTTTCTCTTGGAAAACAACCCCGCGTGGGCTACCCTACGCGGAGGAGGTGTTCGGAGCCTGTTCGTGCAAGGCACGTAGTACAAGATCGTTCCGTCTCGAATCGCTGTTCAGTGTCAGTCAGTCCAAATCAATCCAGTCAGTCCCCATCAGTCCCCATCATCCCAAGCAGCCCCCATCATTCCAGTCAGTCCAACCAATGCCAATCAACCCGATCAGTCCCCATCAGTCCAATCTGACCCATCAGTCCAATGAGTCCCTCCCTGCCCGCTCGGCCAGGATTCGATTCCCGGTATTGGTCGCCGTGCTGGGCATTGGTGGGCGGTTCTTTCTCGTGGAAAAAACCCCGCGTGGGCTACCGTGCACGGGGGAGGTTTTCGGAGCCTGTTCGTGCAAAGCACGTAGTACAAGATCGCTCCGTCTCAGGTCGCTGCTCATGTTCAGTCAGTCGACATCAACCCAGTCAGTCCCCATCAGTTCCCATCACCCCAATCGGTCCCCATTTTCCCAATCAGTCCAATTAGCGCCAATCAACCGAATCAGTCCCCATCAGTCCAATCCGACCCATCAGTCCAATGAGTCCCTCCCTGCCCGCTCGGCCAGGGTTCGAATCCCGATATTGTTCGCCGTGCTGGGTATTGGTGGGTGGTTCTTTCTCTTGGAAAACAACCCCGCGTGGGCTACCCTACACGGTGGAGGTTTTCGGGGCCTGTTCGTGCAAGGCACGTAGTACAAGATCGCTCCGTCTCGAATCGCTGTTCAGTTTCAGTTAGTCCAAATCAATCCAGTCAGCCCCCATCAGTCCCCATCATCCCAAACAGTCCCCATCATCCCAGTCAGTCCAATCAATGCCAATCAACCCGATCAGTCCCCGTCAGTCCAATCTGACCCATCAGTCCAATCAGTCGCCCCCTGCCCGCTCGGCCAGGATTCGATTCCCGTTATTGGTCTCCGTGCTGGGCATTGGTGGGCGGTTCTTTGTCCTGGAAAACAACCCCGCGCAGTGTCTTCTGTGAGTCCCCGCGGGGCCCTCGCGGGGCCTGATAGCTTATATTCAGCAGCCTCTCCGAGGCCGCAGTTCGTGGGGGCGGTGCTTGTAGAACGGATTTTCTGAGGAGCGCAGTATTGAAGATGGACGCAGGGCAAGCCATTGCTGGAGGGTACTACGGGTTTTCTGAGGATCAGTTTCTGAGGACGTTAGGAGCTCCAGTGAACGCGCATAGTACGGACACGCGACCCTTGCACCCTTGCCTCTGCGGCCCGTCCTGCAGCGCTTCCCTTGCAGAAGAATCGCGACTTCGGCCTCCCAGGGTCTTGCGTCCTCACCACCTGTCTTTACGACGCGTTGTGATTGTACGAAACAAACCACAAACTAACAACCCGCAGCCTTTTTGAGGTCCAAGCCCACGTAAGCTCCAGCTGAGCACCGGCGCCCACCTGAGATATCCAGAGATGGCCGCCCCCGTGCCAACGTTTTCTGAGAACCTGGCGTGGGCGGCTGAGAGCGCCGGGTACTCGGCTGAGAAGATGGGCCACTTTGAGCTCCGCGCCACGAAGGGCTATCCCCTGAGCCACGGGGTCTGCCGCCTGATGATGGAGCAATTCCGTGAGTTCTACTACAAGGGCGACGACGCCTGGCCCGTGAGACAGCTGAGGGACTTGGCAACCTACTGGGTGAGGTGCTTCCCGCTCTTTGTCGTGCCACAGTTTTTTTTTGTTTGAAAAAATGAGGCGCATGATGACCACGTACTCGGGCATGCTGAGCGGCCAGTGCCGCACCCACACGAACACTCTCGTTGAGCCCCCCATGAGCCAGGCGTTCGTGTATGGGAAGGCCCAAGCCGCGGCCGGGGTGCTCGCTCATGGGGGAGGCCCTGAGGCGCCGCTTGTGGTCGAGCGCGCGGAATCCCAAGATGAGGAAGAATGCCGCGATGATCCTGGAGTATTTGAAAATCGCTGAGGAGGCGGAGCACGTCTGCTACGTTCTCGCGGCCCCCGTAACTGAGCAGCTCCTGCGCTTCAACGCTGATGAGCTCTACACCGCTGAGCCCCCGCACCAGCAGCTGATTGGTGAGGTCTTCTGGCTCGGCCCTGAGCTCCATGCGCTCGTTGAGCCCATTCAGAACGCCATCCAGATGAGGACTGCGGCGAGGCACCGCGGGCTCTGGGCTGAGCTCTACCCGGGCGAGGGCGCGCAGGCTGAGGGCACCCAGACGCAGGCTGACGACATGGACGTTGGCACGCCGCGCTGAGGCTCTGAGGCGCTCCGAGGCCCCTCTTCTGCGGCCCCCCCTGAGGCGCTCTGAGGCTCTGAGGCGGTTCGAGGCCAATCCTGTTTTTTTTTGAGGCCCACCCGTGAGCTTCGCGCCACTCTGGACCGCTGAGCGCCGCGCGCTGAGCGATGACACATGCCCCTTGAGGCCCCTCGGCGGCTTGAGCAAACATTAAAGCTCCTCTGGGGCCCCTCGGCGCCGCTTCCGAGGGAGGGGAGGGGGGATCTTCTGAGGGAGGAGCTTCGGGGGGAGGAGCTTTCGAAGGAGGAGCTTCTGAGGAGGAGCTTCGGAGGGAGGAGCTTCTCAGGGAGAAGCTTCGGAGGGGGGATCTTCTGAGGGAGGAGCTTCGGAGGGAGGAGCTTTTGAGGGAAGAGCTTCTGGAGGAGGAGCTCCCGAGGGAGGAGCTTCGCAGGGGGGAGCTTCGGAAGGGGGGAGCTTCGGAGGGAGGAGCTCCTGAGGGGGGGGCTCGCGGGTGAGAAGATCCGAAGGGGGGGGCTGCTGAGGGCGGGGCATCTCAGGTTTCCCTTAGGTTTTCCTTTGGTTTTCCTTAGGTTTTCCTTGGGTTGTCCTTAGGTTTTCCGAAGGTTGTCCTTAGGCTTTTCCTTCGTTTTTTTGTTTTCCTTAGGTTTTCCTTAGGTTATCCTTAGGTTGTTCATCAGGTTTGCTTTAGGTTTTCCTTAGGTTTCCCTTAGGTTTTCCTTAGGTTGCCCTTAGGTTTGCCTTAGGTGTTCCTTCGGTGTGCCTTAGGTTTTCGTTAGGTTTTCCACAGGTTTTCCTCAGGTTTTTTAGGTTTTCCTCAGGTTTACCATCGGATTTCCTTGGGTTTTCTTTCGGTTTTCTTTAGGTTGCCCTTAGGTTTTCCTTAGGTTGTCTTTAGGTTTTCCTTGGGTTTTCCTTAGGTTTTCCTTAGGTGTCCTTAGGTGTTCCTTAGGTGTTCCTTCGGTTTTCCTTAGGTTGTCTTTCGGTTTTCCTCAGGTTTTCCTTAAGTGCTCCTTAGGTTTTCCTTCGGTTTTCCTTAGGTTGTCTTTCGGTTTTCCTAGGTTGTCCTTACGTTCTCCTTAGGCAGTCGCACATTTTCTTTAGGATGGATAAATCGAGGATGAAGTTTCTCACGGTCCTCGCGGGTTCCCTCCCTCCCCATGGGGCCCGAGTTCCACACGGAAAATAATATTTTCCATTATTGCTGGGGTCCCAGTCCGTCAATAAGCCCGCGGGGCAACCATATATTTGCGCACTATTGGGGGGGGGTCAAAAGACGCTGTGGGGTTAGGCTCCACGAGCCGCCAGAGTCGCTTCCAGGCCTGCGCGACGCCGACGATCGCCCCACGACAGCTTTCCAGGCCACCTCGCCAGCAAAAGAGGTCTCGTAGAGGTTCCCCACAAAGAGCCCCCACAGCCACCCAGCCCGTTTTGTTTCTCGACGGTGCAATCTCGTCAGAGAGGTCCCCAAGACTGCCCCGCTGCGGTTCCAGAGGTTCCCAACAGTGCCCCATGGCGGCACCGGGGGGCACCCTGGCGGCTGAGGCGGCGCCGACGAGGGACGCCGAACACCCCAACACGGCCGATTAGGGCCACAAGAGAGGCCTGGGGGCCTTTGCGGTCGCCAGGGACGGTCTCGACATTGCTGTTTGCGTCTCGACGTTCTACGACCGAGCCAAAGACCCGTCACAGAGCTCAAAGGACGGGGAGGAAAAGGAAAACGAGGACTAGGAGGAGGGGAGCGATGAGGACGAGGAGGGGGCGGAGGAGGAGGAGGAGGAGGAGGAGGAGGAGGAGGAGGAGGAGGAAAAGGAGGAGGAGGAGGAGGAGGAGGAGGAGGAGGACAGGAGGAGGAGGAGGATGAGGAAGGTGAAAAAAAAGTTGAGGGACGAGGGAGGAGGAGGGCAAAGGCGCAGGAGGAGAGGGCAGAGGAGAAGGCGGAGGAGGAAGGGAGGAGGGAGGAGGAGGGATATAGGCAGGGGGCGGGGGGGGGTGGGGGGTGGGTGGTCTCCTCCTCTGCCTCCTCCTCGCGTCGCCCGTCCTCCTCCTCCTCCTCTGCGTCGTCGTCGTCCTCCTCCTCCTCTTCCTCCTCCTCCTGTTTTTCCCCATCCTTCCCTTGGTCCTCCTGCACCTCCTGCTGTTGTTGCTGCTGCTGTTGATGCTGTTGTTGTTGCTGCTGCTGCTGTTGCTGCTGCTGTTGCTCCTCCTCCTCCTCCTGCTACTCATCCTCCTGCGCCTCCTCTCTCCCCCTCCGCCCTCCCCCATCACCCCCTCTCCTCCTCCTCCGAGCCTCCTCCTCCGAGCCTCCTCCTCCTCCTGCTCCTGCTCCTTCTCCTCCTCTTCCTCCCCCTCATCCTCCTCCGCCTCCTCCTCTTTCTCCCCCTCCTGCTCTTGCTCCTCCTCCTGCTCCTACTCCTGCACATCCTCTATTGGTGCTGCTCCTCTTCCCCTGCCTTCTCCTCCTCCCCATCCTGTTCCTCCTCCTCCTGCTGTTCCTGCTCCTGGACGTGGGGTCCTGGGGCCGCATTCTCGGGGCCGTGGAGGGGCCCAGGGATCGTGGAGGATTCCAGGGGCCGAAGATGGGTCCAAAGGCGCCAAGGCGAGTCCCCAGAGCCAAGGGTCCAAAGCCCAGGGTCCAGAATCCATCAAGGGCGGACGAGAAGGAGGAGGAGGAGGAGGAGGAGGACGACGAGGAGGAGGAGGAGGAGGAGGAGGACGAGAAGGAGGAGGAGGAAGAGGAGGAGGAGGAGGAGGAGGAGAAGGAGGAGGAGGGAGATGAAGGCGAACGAGGACGAGGGCGATCACGAACACAACGGGCGAGGAGGAGGCCGACAACGATGACGAGCAAGGGGAGAAGTCCGGGCAGTTCTCTGTTGGGCCTCGGGCTTCGTTCCCCCTTCCTTGGGGTGGGTTTACCGCTCTGGGTCGGTATGCGTCGGTCTGGTTCGGCCGCATTCGGTCCACAAGCGATTTTGGTACGGTTCGGTTCGGGTCTTTACCGCGACCATTCCGGTTCGGTTCGATTCGTCTAGGGGGGGACGCTGGTTCGCAGCCGTTCGATTCAGCCTGGTTCAGTCCAGGCTGTACTGGAATATTCCTGCAATGAAACGCTGCGACGGAGTTACGCCAGGAAGGAGGCAGCACAGTACGAGATTTCCAAGGCTCCAGGAGTGTCGGCCGTCAGGACCCTCATGAACGAGATCCGCTGTCGATGGTACTGCTTGCCGTGGCATCCTTTGGCGCCATAGTGCCATGACTAGAACCCAAGCGCGCGCGTAGCGCGCGCGTGGTCACTTGCGGGGCCCGGGCCCCAACAAACAGTCGCGCGAGGAAACGCCCAGAGCCGCGACGAGCTTTGAGAGATTGGAGTCGAGGGGCCCCGAACCTCTCATGATCTCCTCAGGAGTGACGGCTTAGGCCTCGAGGGATCGCGAGGCGACCTGTGGAAACGCCCATCCCCTGTCGAGAGGCGCGGTGGCGAATTCTGTTCTGGACCGGTGGCGTGGCCTGTCCCGTCCGGCCCGTCACCGCGACAGCGCCTCCTGCACTCATCCAGTTTCTCACGAGGGTTTAGTCCCCACATTCTCGACACTCGCCGCTCCTTGCAGGTGGCTGCAGCGAGGGTTGTTCCTGCTCTTGTTTCGCCTCTTCCCATCTCTCTCTCTCTCTCTCTCTTTCTCTCTTTCTCTCTCTTCACATTCCCCTCCTCCTTCTTCGCATTCACCTCCATCCCTCCTCCGCCTCTTCTCGCTGCGACTCGCTGCCTTCAGTTCTCCGAGACCCTGGCGGGGGGCGAGAAACTATCGAGGTAGTTGTTTCTTTTGAACGCAGAAGCTGGACCTGGCGCGGCAGACCTCTCGCGCAGATCGTGGACGAAAATATCGATTCCACTTCCATCATATCCAGTTCCTCCCCGTCTTCGCGTACTCAGCGCTCCGTCCCCGTCCTCGTCAGGTCGCAGGAGCGGCCAGGGCTGTCTGCGAACGGCAGCACGGGGCAGCACGGTTCAAGAGGAGACGGGCCACTGACGGGACGTCCTGCAGCATTCCAGAGGAAAAATCGTCCAGAAACGATGCCCAAGCGAGTTGCCCCGGTCGGGCACGCGGGGAGGTCGCAGGGGAAGGCTGGGAGGTGCCCTCCCCCGAAAGATGGGGGAGGGAGCGACACTTTTTCCGAAAGTTTCTGAGAATCCTCCCCCTGGAGTCTCTTGGCGCCTCTCTGTGGGTGGGGGAGGGGGAAGGTGAATGAGGAAGTTTACTAAGCCACTCACGCCCGAAAGAGCGAACCTTGGTAATCCGAGTGGACTTCGGCCGAGGGCACGAGGACAGGGGCAATCCCGGCGAACTCAGGGCGGGGAGGTGCAGCTCGAGAGGAGAGGAGGCTCGCGGCCCAGCCCTAATGAGCGCACTGGCGCCCCGCTGGATGGAAGGGTGGTGGAGTAGGGAGTAAGAGGAGGTCGGGCGAGCAGCAGGGAGGCCAAGTTCCTCGACGCGTCCTCGCTTCTTTGAACAGCAGCGGCGGCATGTACTCTTCTTGGGTCGTATCTTCGCCTCGCACTTCCTGCGCAGACAGCACGGTGTTTCCGATTGTCTCGAGAGCCTTATTTCAGTTGCCTACGACGGCAGTCCAACACCTATCACTCGCTCGTGGTGACAGGACACGCCGGCCGGTCGAGAAGGCACCCCTCCTCCGCTCCCTTTTCTTTATCGACGGTCCTAAGGGGCGCGAGGAGGGCAAACCCCTTCGGGATTTCTTTTTCTCTAGGGACCCATCTCCTTCGTATTCAGGACCGGCTTCTACGTGAAGACAGGCCCCGTCAGAGCGAGCGGGGCATCGCTATACCCTATCATTTCACAAGTTGCGTTCCCACTCCCACACCTCAAGGGCGGCCCTGGCAGAGCGAGAGCCTTCTGACTACGCGTGTGGGCCCGAGAACGTGACCACACTGGGGCTTACAGCGGTACCCGTGCTTCACGTGC